AATACATTACAATTCATGGTCCTGACAGCACCCCTCATTATTGGTTGAATCACAGAATCATAGAGTTGGAAGGCACCCCAGGGTCATCTAGTCCAGTGTTTCCCAACCTTGGGCCTCCAGCTGTTTTTGAACTACAATTCCCATCATCCCTGACCACTGGTCTTGCTAGCTAGGGATGATGGGAGTTGTAGTCCAAAAACAGCTGGAGGCCCAAGGTTGGGAAACACTGATTCTAGTCAAATGCAGGAATCTCAGCAGTAATTTCCGAATGCCTCATTGATTTGCTCAGCAGCTTCTGAGTGGATTGTGCTTAAAGTTGCATTTTTGAGGTCCATACCTATTATTTGCGGCAAGGAGTAGCCATCTAGATCGAGCATCACGGTACCCGTCTGCAGGCAAGTCCGTAGCTCAAAGAGGCTATGCAAAGATAAGGTTGACACGTGTGGTTTGCTCCATCTCTCCCCTCCTTCTTCTACCTTCTCTTCAAACTTGATCCACCTGAAACAAAGATGAAGGAGATGAGACATGACTTGTGCTCAGCATAAATGATACACATGTGGGATGACCAACATGTCTTATTAATGCATGAAGGGGTTAATGCCATAGAGTAAGCTGTCCTGCCAGGCATAGCTAGGGCAATCCCTCTCCCCTTGGGAGTAAGGTAATCAAGCCTATTGTTGTATTTCAGTCTACCCGATAAGCTCAGTGTGTGAGGTCTGAGCTGGTTGCCACCAACAATATAGTTGGTGCAATCACACAGTAAGTGTCTCTTGGAACAGCATGCTTAAGTTCTGTTAAGAGGCAAGGCAGCTGTTGGGGAGATTTTCACTTTTGGCAGCATTCAGGATAAAACTGCAAAAACATACAGTGTATTTTAAGTGTATTTGCTATAGTTGTTGTTGTTCCCAATAGTAATAACCAAATAATCAATGCAAGGCAGTCATCTTTTTGTTAAGCAAAATGATATGTCTGTTGCATTGCTGGTACTAGGGTCATTTAACGATTTATGGCCACTTCCAGAGTGTCACTAATTTGCAGATACGTATAATTAAATTGTACACCAGCCAATTTAGGCTGTGCAATTAAAGTAGATTTGGAGCCCCTGTGCAACAAGTCCACTCTCAAAAATGAAACAACTCCCCAATGCTTTTATGTTATGAAAAGTAACAGGAAAATGCACTACAACGTCTGGGGTGATGGTGATACTGGGCAATGAATATAACCTCCATGCAAACAAATCCAAATGAGTGCTGCTCAATAAACAGCAACGTCATATAACTATACATAACTACGTTGGGCTATATATAAGGATGAACACTTAATAAACAGGTCATGTGGAAGAGCCCCATACAACTGTCATTCAGTTATAAACTACTGCTTTAAAGAAGTCATTACAAGTGATCCTACATAAGGGAGGGGGTACTTTTAAAAACAGTATGTTCAAAAGTCTGGACGAAAGTTTTATTTCTTTCTATATTGTCTATTGTCCAATCAATAAAACAGCAGAAGAGCTCCATTTTGGCAGGCCCAAAATTTTACTTTCAATCTCCTTCTTGCTTAAGGGTGTGTGCATTTAGTCACTTAGCTCCCTGTGTAAATTGGGAATCTGACATCTTTCCATCTTTAGCGAGCATTCATTCTGATTTCTTTGTGGGGAAGTGATATGGTATGATTTGATCCTGAACCTCATGCCACTTGGCCACAGCCATGGCTTTCCTCAAAGAATCAAGGGAACTGTCATTTGTTAAGGGTGCTGAGAGTTGATAGGAGACCCCTATTCACCTCAAGAGATGCACTTCCCTGAGTTCTCCGAGAAGAGGGGTTGATTGTTAAACCTTCTGGACATTGGGGGGTGGGATATGGGTCTCCTAAAAGCCCTCACCACCCTGGACAGATCACAGTTCCCATGATTCTTTGGGGGAAGCCATGACAGTTCAAAGTGGTACATATGACCCTGCTTTAAATGTATACTGCAGAGGGGGCCATAGGCTGTAACCACCTTGTAGCAGGGGCCTTCCTTTTCATAATTTGTAAAGGATCATGAACACGGATTGTGCTATACAACCAATTAACATCAAATCTTCCTTTGCAAATTCTCCTCAGAACACACGAGCCAGGCGTGTGCACAGAAATGGGGAAATCAGAATGACTGCACAACAAAGGCTGAATAACTTCCCTGCAAACTTTGTACAAACAGTGCAGGATGAATGCCCAAAAAACAGTTTGTCTGGAAGCGACCAGTGTCACAGAAGTACATAATGAGTTGTGAGCCAAAGCATCTGTGGAAGAAAGCACCACAAGTCAAAGGCAACGCATTTTAAACATGGCTGTTATTATCTTTCTGTGTGCAATACAAGTATAACAATTAAAAGTGGAGTATGTAGACATGAATATTCTCTTTTTATCCCCCCCCTTAGCATTGCAGTACTGTATATAACCAGGAAAGTAGGACCATTACAGTGAGCTGTAATGTTTCTTGCGTGTTGATGTGCCATTTTTAGGCAAAGGAGGGTAGAGAAGTCATTCCCTCTCCCCCCCACCCGGCATGCACATTTCAAAGCACATGTACTTCAGGAATGCTTTGATATATGGCCAACTCACTGGTTCTACGCTCCTCTGTACCAGGTATGCATGCCAAAGGTGCAAATCCCTTTATTCAAAGAGGCAAATGTTTAGCCTATCTTGATAATATTGCTTCAGAATTATTAGAGCAAAACAAAATAACCCTAATAAATGCTCATAAAATATGCTCCTGTTTTGCAATTTAATCCAGAACAAAGAGCAGGCTGTGAAAGCTTCTCAGCTTTCAACTGGCTGGAGAACTACAGAGTTCAATGGCTGCATTGCCTGTGGGCAAGTGGTGGCTGCGACCACCAGCAGGTGGAGTCAGAACCAATGACAGGCAGAGTCACTGGATGTAAGGAAACAGGCAGCTGGGGAGGGGCTGGCTGAAAGCAGACGGCATTTGGTGGCCAGTGCCTCATTTGCCCTAATGGACCAGCCTCCATGACTGTGGGTCCTAACACAGCTGACAGAAATATCTTTAGGTGCCATTTACCATCTCTCTGAAGCCACCGGGAGCTGTCATCAAGTGTGATGAAGCAGCAAAAAAGGCTAATGCTATTCTAGGCTGCATCAACAGAAGTCTAGTGTCCACATCGAGGGAAGTCATAGTTCCACTCTATTCTCGGAAGGGGAAAAGGCTGTTCCAGAGAACCGAGAAGTCCAGTTCTGGGCACCATAATTTAAGAAGGATATTGACAAGCTGGAACGTGTGTAGAGGAGGGCAACCAAGATGATCAATGGTCTGGAAACCAAGCCTTATTTGGAATTTCCATAGAATGCTGTTTGCTCCAATTCAGCTTCAAATAGTGGGTTTTTGCAGGGAAAGCTCCAGAGCAAAAAAGACACTCAGACACGGAGCTTGAAAACACAGAACATGCCTGAAAAGTGCAGAGGGAAGTGTGACCAGTGGCAGGCCTTGGCATCCCAAATTTCAGTGGCTCCTAGATCTGCCTTTGGTACGGCTAAGCCCTAAGTTAGGTTGTCTAGGGTGGGAGCTTTCTATTTAAAGCAACTGTGCCATTTTGATTGGTGCCGGGCTCTGAGGATGAAAATCCCTATTCTGACTTGCCAAAGGTTCGTTTGCAAAGTACCAGTCTTTTACTATGTGAAGCGAAGCCTAGGCACCCTGCAGCTAAATTCCTGATCTGGATTCCTAAGTCAAGGAGAGCGGAAATCCTGAGCTGGCAATGCTAAAATGCTGACAAAGAGAGGCAAGCAGATATCCTCGTGGACTGTGGCAGTGGTACAGAAATTCAAACAGTTTCAGCCATTGGCATTTTGTTTGTAGAACAGGAAATGCACAGTGCTCTCACCCTGGAAACAGTAACGTATGAGTGTTTGATGGGTTAATCTCCGCATGTTCAATGGACAGTATCCTGCCCTGTCATGATAGATACATGATAGGGGACATGTGATTTTTAAGAACGCAATCATGTAAGAAGAGTCTCACTGCAGTAACAAGCCAAGGACTCATCCAGTGTCACATCCTGTTCTCACAGTGGCCAGTCATATTCCTCCAGGAAGTCTGAGAGTGGAACTTGAATGCAAAGAGGGTTTGGGGGATAGCACAACCTTCTGGGACTCACTGAAATGTATTCACTGAAAACACCTGCAATCTGGCACGGCTGTGACAGGACGGCCCTACCTTCTGGAGATCACCTCAAGCAGCGTTACGCTGGGAGGTCGCAGTAACAGGCCCTTAGCTTCTCTCCCACAATATTCTCCTCTGTTAGAGCAGAGATATGTTTCTCTCTCTCAAGAATATAAGGAGAGTGTGCTGGATCAAGCCAAGAGCCCACCTGGTCCAGCACTCTGTTCTCAAAGCGGCCACCCAAGTGTCTATATCTATCTATCTATCTATCTATCTATCTATCTATCTATCTATCTATCTATCTATCTATAGATATACTCTGTTCTCAAAGCGGCCACCCAAGTGTCTATATCTATCTATCTATCTATCTATCTATCTATCTATCTATCTATCTATCATCTATCTATCTATCTATCTATCTATCTATCATCTATCATCTATCATCTATCTATCATCTATCTATCATCTATCTATCTCTATCTATCATCTATCTATCATCTATCATCTATCTATCTATCTATCTATCTATCTATCTATCTATCTATCTATCTATCTATCATCTATCCATCTATCTATCTATCTATCTATCTATCTATCTATCTATCTATCTGTTATCTGTGGACACTCTGTTCTCAAAGCGGCCACCCAAGTGTCTATATAGGAAAGCCCACAAGAAGCACAACAATGTTCTCTTGCCTTTTTGCCTAACTCAGCAAATTTTCTTGGACAGGCTCTGCTTAGAAACCAGGGATTAAGATGTTTCTGTTATGTAGGGCTCACTCAAGCTGTGCTTATCCAGAGGATGGCTGTTGCCTTTTCTGAGGGCTTTTCAGTATCGCCCAACAGAGTCTCTACATTGTTAACCCATGTGCTAGGAAGAAAACTCCATGCTTTTGAAAATCTCCTCCTCCTCCTTGATAACCATACCGGACATTCTTCTTAACCAGTCATTATCACAGCTACCTAGAATGCGGATGGTCACCCTTTGTACCCTCAGGGACCCCCCCCCTTCTCAGTTCTCTGGAACAGCCTTTCCCCCTTCCGATATTTTGAGTTATTGGCTGCATTCATATGGCAGTTGGTTCTGTTTTTCTGACATTTCCCTAGTTTTAATTTCTGCATTATATTTCTTGCTTTCACACAACAGGGAAACAGCTTTTGGCAGCTCTGACATACAGGAGCTATTCTGAATACAAAACCAAAGTATGAAGGTTCTGCCTGCCCCGTCCCTCCTGGCACTGAGGGAGCACATTAGACAAGGTCATTATGTGGCGCAAGCTTGGAGCCACTGCGGGGCATGTGGGGCAGAGGGAGACAGAGTTAATCAAAATCTATCTTATTAACTGCCTGACCTCCACGGCATTGATCCCATTTAAACATGGCATAAACACCCACAAATCCCTTTGTTCTTCACCATTGAGAGGCTCAGCTGGGCTCAAACCTGCTATTCGAGTCCCCGACTCTTCCCCTCCCTGCTGCTCAAACTCAGGATGTGAAATTTAGTAAATAATAATAATAATAATGAAAAAGCGACTGGTTATAAAGCCTCAGCTGGAAAGGAAATTCCATGTGGATTTCGTTTGTGTGGAAAAACGTTAGTAAGCTGGTAATTCAATAAAGTAAGGACATCTTGCATTCTCTCTAATACTTTGATAAAAGTTATGGGGCTTTTAAAAGGTTTACTTTATTGGTTTGCAATAAAAAGAGCAAAGTTAACTCTTTAACTGCTGGCTGCAAATAAGGCTCACAGCAAGGTGGCTTTTTCTTGCGACTTATTCACATAGTTCAGATTTATGCTACCAGTTCAGCATGGGGCTGGCCTAAGGGACTTGCACACTGCCAATATAATGTTTAATTCAGACTCAACAGCCTATTTCCTTGAAAGCAAACCCCACTGTGGCTTAAAGGTAAAGGTAAAGGTACCCCTGCCCGTACGGGCCAGTCTTGACAGACTCTGGGGTTGTGCGCCCATCTCACTCAAGAGGCCGGGGGCCAGCACTGTCCGGAGACACTTCCGGGTCATGTGGCCAGCATGACAAAGCTGCATCTGGCGAGCCAGAGCCGCACACGGAAATGCCGTTTACCTTCCCGCTGGTAAGCGGTCCCTATTTATCTACTTGCACCCAGGGGTGCTTTTGAACTGCTAGGTTGGCAGGCGCTGGGACCGAGCAACGGGAGCGCACCCCGCCGCGGGGATTCGAACCGCCGACCTTTCGATTGGCAAGCCCTAGGCACTGAGGCTTTTACCCACAGCGCCACCCGCGTCCCTGAGTGCCACCCTCCACTGTGGCTTGCCTCTTAGTAAATGTGCTTAGGATCTCACTCTGAGAGCTCTAAGTTTGCGGGGGCAGGAGATGGCCAGAGGAGATTGGGTGCCAACTGGGGAAACTGGAGGAAACAGTGTGTGTATGTAGTGGCAGGGGAAAGTCACTGAAGTTGGCTGCAGCCTCCATGCAGAAGCAGGAATGCAGGGAGGAAATGGTAAAGGGAAACTCTTAAAGGGGGTTGGCCAATCTGCGGCCCTCAAAACCAGCTCCAAGCCTGAGCCCAGTAGCAGCAGAATGGATTTAAGAACATAAGAAGAGCCATCTAGATCAGGCCAATGGCCCATCGAGTTCAGTAGCATGATCTTACAGTGGATGACCAGACACCTTTGGGACCCAAATGCAAGAGAATCCCCCCCCCCCCGGTCTCCAGCAGTTGGTCTTCAGAAGCATTGCTGCCTCCAACTGTGAAGGCAGAGCAGGACCGTCCTGGCTGGTAGCCTTCAATAGCCCTCCCCTCCATGAATGATCCATGCTGGTCCAACAAAATCTGACCACGGCTTCCTGTTACGCGTGAACCAGCTTTTGGGGTGTTAATTTCTGTTCTGGTTGCAAAACAGAAAGCAATGAGCATATGAAACAGGCTAGGACTGAAGGCTTTCAATAGCTTTCTCCACACACCCCAAACACTCACTTTGGATCACTGGACAAGGTGGTAACCCTTTCCCCCTGATAAATAATATTTTGCAGCTTTTAGATTGCCCAGAAGTGACAGCGTGGCAAAGATGATTGTGAATCAAGGCATCTCTCAAACCAGGTTCTACTCTCTTAAAAATTATGGACTGCCTTCAGCAAAGGCCTTCTTCCTTCAAGAGCGCATACCTCAGGAGGAAAATGTGTGAGTCACCCCAGAGAAGCAACTGCTTACAACCCTCCCGCTTTTTCCATACCTGGCTGATTCCTTCCACTCCATTTCTTCTCCATCATGCTGGAGCGTGTCCATCTCAGTGAACAGGGTGGGGTTGGGGGGGTCGTCATCTTCACCCAGGATATACCGGAGGCGTTCAGCAGCTGGAGACACTGAGCCAAGATTGGAAAAGATAATCAGTGACAGGCAGGTGCTATTCACATGTTCCAAATTTTCAGTTCAGTTGCTCTAGAAAACCATCTAGAAGAGATGATGGTGATATTTTATTTTATTTATACCCTGCCCATCTGGCTGGGTCGCCCCAGGCATTCTGGACAGCTTCCAACACACATAAAAATAAAAAAAAATAAAATCAAACATTAATAGTAACAATCTGATCCAATATAAAAAGTCACAATAACTTTAAAATAAACAACTTATATCAAATAAAGCCATATTCAGTATTATTATTATTATTATTATTATTATTTATTCAACTTATACACTGCCCTATACCCGGAGGTCTCAGGGCAGTTCCAACAAGACTACAACATATAATGTTGCATATGAAAACAAATTTTAAACAATTAAAAACACTAGCAGGATAGACATAAACATGAACAGTAAGAAATAACTTAAAGGGAGCAAAAATGTTACATTTGTAAATAGGTTTGAATTGGTTATGCAATAAGATTACAATATAAAATGAGGAACCACACAGAGGGGAGGAGGGAAGTAAAAGAAAAAGCAGGTTGAATTTGTTTATATTTATAGTTTGTTGTTAAAATATTGTAAAATGGAAAAAATAAAATATTATAAAAAAGCAATATTCAATAATCCATTAGAATCCAATAGAAAACAGTAAAATTAAACATCAGCAAATAATAATTAAACGGTTTACACTTATCAATTACAATAAATAATTACTAATCAATAAAAACAACAGCAAATCACAATGCATAAAATACCAGAAAACATATAAAACCATTTAAAAGGATCAAAATGAGAAACAAGGACACACAACTTACAATTTATTTATTTTCAACTATCCCTGAGCTACTCTCTTCCCAGCTGCTTCTGCTATTCTCAAATTCATGGTCTGGGAAAGGCTCCTAGGCCTGGAGGCCTGGAAAGGCAGGTGCCTGATGACCAGCAGAAAGCCTTCAATTAAAGATCAAGTAAGAGAGTAGGGTTTGTTGCAAGGGATATAGCTATGGTGAAATGCTAATATACGCTTTGGAGGTCCCACCTTGAACCTTGTCAGTGGGGCTGAGCTAACCCAAACCTAATCTGCTTTTGGTGGTAGTGAGAGCCTTTCCTAGCTTGGTGCCTCCAGCTGTTTTTGACTACAATTCCCATCAGTATATGTAAGGCAGGATTGACTGCAATACCTTTCCTCCAGTTACAGTACAGTCATACCTCAGGTTACAGACGCTTCGGGTCGCGCAATTTTGGGTTGTGCACCGCGCTGAACCTGAAAGTACCGGAATGGGTTACTTCTGGGTTTCGGCGCTTGTGCAGAAGCGCTGAATCGCAACCCGTGCGTGCGCAGACGTGGGTCTGCGGGTTACAAACGTGCTTCCTGCACAGATCACGTTCGCAACCCGAGCCGCGGCAAAGGTATCCGCCCCGGAGCCGCGGCAAAGGTGTAAAAAAGCCACATGCGGCTCCGGAGCCGCGGGTTGCAGACCCCTGGTCTAGACTATAGACCACCATTTAAATCCATCTCAGCCAATAGTAGTAGTAGTAGTAGTAGTAGTAGTAGTAGTAGTAGTAATAATAATAATAATAATAATAATTTATTACTTACATTACTTAGGGAGAGAACTCACCCTAAAACTTATACATAGATAGCAACATGGAAGCTGGCACTCATACACCCAGGAACCTCCTCTAAATGTTGGAGAGACTGCACTTCCATAGACACACACGTCCACATGTGGTGGAAATGCCACAAAGTTCAATCTTTCTGGATATCAGGGCTGCAGGAAATTTCCAAAATAACGAAACAGGTAATAGAAGCAACTCCAGGACAGCACGCGCGCACACACACACACACACGACAAGGAACTCATAAGTTACTTGCAGCAGCTAGAAATATCATAACTAGACACTGGAAGGAGCTATGAGGAGTGAACATAGACCACTGGTACCAAAATGTATGGAAAACCGCCCTGCTAGAGAAGTTAACCAACAAACACAAAATACCATGGGGATAAGCAAAGGAGGACACCTTCATCTCAGTATGGCTTCCCTTTATCGCATACACCACACAAATCTGGGACCCCCAACCTCTTGCAGTATCAATGAAAAGAAATAAAGACAGTCACACCTTGGGTTGCAAATGTGATCCATGCGGGAGGCATGTTTGCAACCCGCAGCGCCATGTTTGTGTCTGCGCGTGACGTGATTCGGCACTTCTGTGCATGCGCGTGACATCATTTTGCACTTCTGCACATGTGCGAGCACCAAAACCCGGAAGTAACCCTTTCCAGTACTTCTGGGTTCGGCATGATCTGCAACTCAAAGACGCGCAGCCCACAGCGTTCGCAAACCAAGGTATGACTGTACATAAACGAAGGACTACCCATGTGATGCCGACACACCACACTTTCCTCCTCCCTTTTCCCTCATGCAAGATGTATACGACAAAATAGATAAATGTAAATCACTAAATGCAATCAAACTCTGAAAAAGCATACAAACTGAAAGTGGAGACAACAAATGTACCTTTTCGTGTTTATCTTTTTTTTTTTGTAACAAAACAAAACAAAACTTTAATAAAAACTAAAAAAAAAAAAAAAGAACCTGTTCCTTGGCTAAGCAACCAATTTGGCCTGGCATCGTCTCTGAAATAACCTGACAGAGCCTTGTGTGACTGCTGAAAGGCAGGTTCCCAGCACCTTTATTATTAAATAAACAACAGTCCCCAGATTTCCTTGAGAGTTTGGTGGATTAAACCACTTGTAAACTGCCCTGAGATCTTTTTATGAAGGGAGGGATTTATCAACAACAACAACAACTTGCTCTAAGATTTTATTGTTGATGGGCCCTCAGTTTTTCCTCTCCTCGGCACCCCCATCTTCCTCCGCTCTCTCTCTCTCCCCCCTTTCCTTCTTCAATTTCCTTCTAACAAGTGACAAAGGGAAATGAGTACCTGAGAAGTTTTTAATACTTGGGCTGTTTGTACACCATGCCTTTAAAGCTCATTCAAAACACATTCCTTTCCCTCCAATAATTTCTGGGCATGATAGTTTAGCCCTCATAGAGTTGCAGTTCCCCCAAAAACCCTTAACAAACCATCGGGCTCAGAACTCTCTGAGGGAAAGAATGTGCTTTAAAGGTATACTGCAGGTGTGGAGAAACTTTGGCCCCCTTGATGTTGCTAAATTACAATTCCAAACTAGAACAATCAGGGATGGAGGAAGTTAGAATCACAGAATTGCAGAGTTGGAAGGGACCCCAAGAGTCACCTAGTCCAAACCCCAGCCTCCATTCCAGCTTGTCAACATCCTTCTTAAACTGTGGCACCCAGTGGCGTAGCGTGGGGGGTGCAGGGGGGGCCGGCCCCACCGGGCGCAACATCTGGGGTTAGGGCAAATCCATGGGTTAGGGGGCGCAAATCCACAGGTTAGGGGGCGCAAATCCATGGGTTAGGGGGTGCAAATTACTTGCCTTGCCCCGGGTGCTGACAACCCACGCTACGCCACTGGTGGCACCTAGAACTGGACACAGTATTCCAGGTGGGCTCTGATGGAGGGAGAAGAGAGCAGGACTATTACTTCCGTTGATCAGGACACTACTTCTGTTGATGCAACCTAGAATTACATTAGCCTTTTTTGCTGCTGTCTCATGTTGTTGACTCACATTAAGTCGTAGCATATCCCACAACATTTTGGAAGAACAAATGAGGGTATACCCCCACCCCCAACCCGCTGCCCCCATTGCTCACCCCCTCATCACAACCCTCCCTCCCGGCTCATAGCTTTTTCCACAGCCTCCACCTCCTCCTTCTTCGCAGCCTGAGCCTGCGCCAGCCTCGGGAGAAGCAATACAGCCTTGCGAGAGGCCATGTCAACCAGACCATTTTTTGGTCCTGCGCTCTGGTGTGAGCCAACTGACTCGCAGCACAGGGCAGGATGGGAAAATGCTTGCCTTTTGGTCCTGCATTCTGGCTCAGTCAGAGCATGGGAGGCAAAACAGAACATGCAGGATGGGATCAGAAAGTCAGACCGGCTTCTATGAATCCAGATGTCCCGCTTTAAATGGGACAGTTGGGTGGTATATCTTAGTTCAGCAACTTCTGGAGGGCCAAAGGTTCCCCACATCATATATAGTCCAAGCAGCAAACAGAGCCAAGCACTGGGGGTGGTTTAAAGGCCTTCCAGCCCAGCCCCTCTCCTCCACGCTCTGGTGCAAGGCAGACTATCAGCCCCCACAGATCACCCTATTGCAATCCAGGCCAGAGGCTGCCACATGCGGGGAACAAACATCAAGTGCCTTGGGCAGATTCCCTGCAGAGAAATCATATGGCAAAAATAACCCCTGAACCAGAGGTGCCAGCTTGTGAGGGCCGACATTGTGCATCAGGAGGTCAGGAGGAGCCACTGCAGAACCAAATGCAGTGGCAGCGCGGCTTCAATGGCCGGTAGCTCCTCCTGCTGCCGCATTTTGGCCAAAAGGGCTGGGCCCCAGGAGTTGGTGCCCCTGCCCCGAATTGCACACAGTTACAGTGGTTTGCCAGAAGCGGCTTAGTCATGCTGGCCACATGATCCAGAAGCTGTATGCCGGCTCCCTCTGCCAGTAAAGCAAGATGAGCGCCGCAACCCCAGAGTTGTCCGTGACTGTACCTAACGGTCAGGGGTCCCTTTATCTTTACAGTGGTACCTCGGGTTACAAATGCTTTAGGTTACAAACGCTTCAGGTTACAGACTCCGCTAACCCGGAAGTAGTACCTCAGGTTAAGAACTTTACCTCAGGATGAGAACAGAAATTGTGCGGCGGCAGTGGGAGGCCCCATTAGCTAAAGTGGTACCTCAGGTTAAGAACAGTTTCAGGTTAAGAACGGACCTCCAGAATGAATTAAGTTCTTAACCGGAGGTACCATTGTACTAACTAATGTGGAGATTGGCCGGATGCAGGCAGAGACCACCTGCCAAACCACTTGTACTTA